ATCTTTTTATCTTCCTCTTCCTTGTGTTTGATAAGTAACATTTATGGCTTATGAATTCACTTGTTTTGGATGCGTTCCAACTTGAGTAGCTAATCATTGGTATTCCCATAGCAACATGCCAACACAAGTATCCACAGAAGAACTAGATCTTAGTTTAGAAGTATGACCCTTGTAGTCTCTAATTTTACTCTTAATTTCATCAGGCATTGATAACACACTACAAGAAAATGGTGAAATAGCTGCGGAAAATAAGCGTCGGCTAATAATTGACGCAAATATTGTCAGAAAAGTTGACGCTATTTTAAGATGTAGCGTCGGTTTTTTCGACACTAAATTTAAATTAGGTTTAGTGTCGGAAAAGAATAGCGTTGGCTTTTCCGACACTAATTTAATTTAAATTTAAATTAAATTAGTGTCGGAAAAGCTGACACTATATCTAAAGAAATAGTGTCGGCTTTTCTGACGCTAGCGTCGGAAAAGCCGACGCTATTCTTAAAGAATAGCTAGCGTCGGCTTTTCTGACATTAAACTTAATTTAAATTTAGTGTTGGAAAAGCCGATGCTACATCTTAAAATAGCGTCGGCTTTTCCGACAATATACGTGCTTTGAAAAAGATAAAGATAAATTTTTCAATGGTATATATGCATAATGTGTTCTGGTGCAGTTGGTTATCAAGTTCACTTAAGACCTTAAGGTTCACAGATTGAGTACCGGGAATGTTAAAAATACGAATGAATGTTAAAAATATGAACGAATAAATGATAAGTTGGAAAAAGAAGATAAAGAAAAAAATAAAATAAATTTTGTGTCGACATAGTGTCAGCTTAACCGATAATAAAAAATTAAAATAAATAAATTTGTTATCGACGGCTTAGCCGACACAAAAAAATTGTGTCGACTTATTTAGCGTCAGCCAAAAATCGACGAAAAACCGACAATATTACGTCCATTTACGTCAGTTTTTATGATTTAGAGTCGGCTTCTGGCTGACTCTAAACTGCAACATTTTTGCAGTGACACTTGCTCTCCTTTTAAACGACTTGAATGCTGTCAGAGCCTCCTAATTAGAATATTAATTTCAGGATAATTACCAAATATGTCAATATTTTTACCCAATTTAAGCAATTATTTGAACATATCTTATGCTTTAGAATCTTATTTTTTTCAAAACTTAGTATTTTAATTTTGTCTCATTAAATAATTAAGTTTTTTTTTTTGTTTTAGGTGTTTTTGATAAGTTGTTTTTGTTAGTTTTGAGATATAGGTAAGAAGACGATAGGAAGTAGGTAATGTTAAAGAAGTTGGAGCACTCGCTCAAAGTAAAAAGAAAGCACAGTACTCTAAGCGATTTCATACTTTAAAGCAAACCATTTAGGCATTACAAGCAAGTCATTTAGAAGATTCTTTTGGAGTATCATGAAGAGCTCACTCAAGTGAACCATCTATGTGCTATGAGAAAATGGACATCACAAGTCCAATTGAAAAAAAAACTCATTAAAATATTATACAAATAGGGTTTGGAGTAATAGAAAAATACTTCACATATTATATATTTTAGAGTGATTTGAAAGGAATAAAGGGAGTCGTTGTTGGAGATTGATGTTGCTAACTCTACTCCATGTAATTCTTTTTATTCTTATTCAAGAAAGTATTTATTTAATTAATTAATTTAATCTCATGTTTAATGCTTGTTGTAGCCCGATCAACTTTTTCATGAATATACAATTTTTAATCGAGATTGAGAAATCCTTTTAAAATTATAACCTAGATAAAACACTGATAATATTTATTATCAAAGAATTAGAATAAACCTTATCAATTGACTTTTAAACCCCTAATCTTAATGCATGATGCTTAACAAACTTCACCATGGAATTAAGATTTTCCTTAAGAAACTTAGAATTTTTCACCTAAAAAATTAGGGTTAAAATCTTTTATTATAAATTTTCAATTATTTTTTTAATCTTTTTTATTATTCTAAATATTTAAAAATATGTTCTTTATTTTTATTGTGTTTTTTAAAATAAATCTTATTTTCTTTTCCTTAATTAGTGTAAAATTTGATTAATTAATTATTACGCAAGTTCTTATAAATTCAATATTTGAACTTCTATTCTCATATTGCCTACACAATTGATATATTTATCAAATACGTATTACTCCACAAATTTAAGAAACTTGAATAGTATTTTCAATAGAATAATTTCATTGACTGAAATTTCCTATCTCCAATTCTAATTGGAAGTGACGAGCACTTTATCTTGATTATAAATCAGTTTCAAATATTTCCATATTTCTTTTGTCATAGAGAATGTTCTCAGATTGCTCACCATATGTTGTTCGATCGAACCTAATATCCAAGATATGATATGTGCATCTTCAACCTCCCATGTTTAAAGTTCTGGGTTGTTTTCATGAGTTAGATTGGACCTATCAAGATGCCCTCAAAACTCCTTCCCTTTCACATGCATTTTCAACTGAAACTCCCAACTAAAATAATTCTTCCCATTATATCAAACAATGGAGTTTTCTCCAAACATGATTTCAAAGAGTACGAATTCGGACAAAACAAAAGTTCAAGAATCTAGACACGTAATAAGAAGAGTAATTACCTATGCACTGTCGATGTAAAGTTTTTTTACACTGACAACTAATCATATCTTTTAATAGTGTCATATCACTATCAAAAGTAAATGTCATGGCACTATTAAAAAATATGATTGGTTACCAGTATAAAAAAATTTTACACTAGCTAGCACTATATAGGTGATTAACTCTAATTAGAAACCAAAAAAATTGGCCCAGAAAGCACAAAAAGATAAAAAGGCTCCTTGAACACACCGAGAGACATACACTATAACAAGAAATTTGCCTAATTAATCTTTGTAGTTATATAAGAAAATTTTGCAATAACAGGAAATGTTGCCTAATACATGGCTAATTTATAGCTATTCACATTTGTAAAATAATGAAATAAATGCAGTAAATAAATGAGAAAATATTGCAAACAAATTACAAGGAAGCGATAAATTAGATATTCTATATATGTAATCTTGTTGATATACTAGCATGAAGCCAAGGTTACATTTTATTCTCTAAGTCATAGAAAACACAATAGCTAAGCAATTATAAATAGTTTTTGTATATCTAGATAACCTTCTTCCAAGATGGTCTGTTGCTAATATCATCCCACCAAACACTCACATGCTTTTCCATAGGTTCAGTTCTCATTATGATAAAGTGGAGAAGAGCAAAAAGGACACCCATAACAGGGAATAAAAGAAAAAGAGGACCAAGGAAAAAATGTTGATATTGAGGCACATGTTAATTTTTAGGACATTCAAGTTGATGTTTTTAAGCCTGGAGTTGAACAAACTGAATTTTGTGAAAAAGGTTGGACATTAGCAAAATCGATTATGGGGAACGTGCTAAACAAATTAACTGATTTTCGGGGCGACAAGATTTTAACACTATATCGATTAGGTGGAGCTTGACATAAAAAAAAATCGATTATGTACATAAGATTTTGTATGTTGCTTTCAAAATCAGTCAACACCCAATTTTAAAAGTGTATAATATTGGCAGGAACAAAACTGGTTGTACAATCAATTTTGTAGACTCAAAACTACCGATTCTGTAAAAAATTTCCCCACTAGTGGTCGTGGGTTGTGGATACACAATTTACTTTGCCAGTTTGAATTTTGTAATTGTTTACGGTAGAACTTGTTTATGGATTCTTTTTATTCGAACTAACACGAAACCGTTTCAAGTTAAGTATTTTACGTTCTGAACTTTATCAAGAATAAGAAACGGAGTAGAAAAACTAACAATTTTTTGTTTCTAAATATTCATTAATGATTATCAAGCAATAGTGTTCATGCATATAAATACTTAAATGAACAGAATGAATAACAAGTTCATTAGCAATACAAATCATGGTTCACTTTGCATAAAATTACAATGTTGAAGCATGTTACTACAATTACACAACTATACTACGTAATTAAAAGAAGAAAACTACACTAATCCTAATCCTAGAAGAAGACAAGAAATGTGGCCAAGAAATGGTCATACCCAGAAGCAATTCCATGCACAAAAGCCATATGTGCAGGCAGTGAGTGCTTGAGAGTTTCAAGTATGATGTTTCCGACACTTTCTGAGGGGTATAATTCTCATATTTATAGATTTTACTTGAAAGCAGTTAATCACGTATTGATGAGTCGTGGGTGTGTAACCGCTGACCATTACACTGATTTCGTGGAATCACGGTAACTTCTCAATAACTGTTTCCTCCACACGTTCCTTGTTTCTTCGACCAAGTTTAGGTAACTGCCTTAGTGTAACTGTTTAACTGCACAGAGGACTTTTCGCTTCTTTCATTTTTCGACCCATCCTTGAGTTTGTACATTCAGGGCTTGTAATCCTTTCTTTTGGTAGGTACTTATTTATGTCTCTCTTTCGATTTCGAATAGATTCAAAGTGTAACTTTCGAGTGATATGGCTTTCAAGTAGACATAAGAATAGACATAAGATATATGTGTACCATACTACATGGAATAGACATAAGATCAATCAAACACATATCTCTTTTTCCATCAATTTTCTTTACAGATTTTCCTTAAGTTTTTCTGAATTTATAGTTAAATTTCGCTAACATTACAAATTTCAAGTTATTTATTCGCAATTTCAGCTATTTCACCTACCAATCAAGTGCGTCTAATAAGTAACTTGAGGAGTTATGTTCAATTAATTAGTGACAAATTTTGTCTTTCATCATCATCCAATTTCACAATTCAAACTTTGGAACTATATATGTTGGAGTTAGAATAGCTCAAACTCATTCTACTAGACCAAATTAAAGCATACATAATTTTCTTGTTTGATTAGGATGCCTTTGAATTCAAAGAAAGAACCAAACCATGCCACGAATACTTCTACCTAAAATAGGTAACTTATTTTTGAGATTCAAACTCAAAATATTAAAATACTAATATTTTATTTTGACCATGAAATCCTCTTAGGTAACTTTCATACATAGCTTTGCATCAAACACCATGACTACTACTAGGATGAAGCCAAGGCTACACTTTATTCTCAAGGTCATAGTAAACACAATAGCCAAGTAATTAGAAAGGGTTTTTGGATAGTTCGAGAACCTTCTTCCAAGATGGCCTGTTGCTAATATCATCCAACCAAGCACTCACATGCACCCTTTCTCTAATCAAATACTCCTTTTTCATTTGACTCAAATAATGAGTAAATGGGAGATGGCTAAGATCAGCAAGGCTGAAGAAGTCACCTGCCAAATACTTTGTCTTGGATAGCCTCTCCTCATAAATGTCAAGTACCTTCCCAAGCTTCTCTTCACTCTCTTTGATAACTTTTGGGTCTGATGGAAGACCCAATAAAGGGGAAATCACAATATTCATTACCAAATTGTAGAGTGGTGGGTGATAATTATGGGCTTCAACTTCAAGCCATTGCTCCACGAGACCCCTTTCTTCTATTGTCTTCCCTAATAAATCAGTCCCTTGGTTTTTGTACTTTTCAGCATAGTACCTGCATATTGCTCTTGATTCTACACAATTAAGGAGATAAATCAAAATTACTTATAGCGATCAAAAAGCACAAGATCAAAGTTATTTATATCATCATACTACTAGGCATATAAACATAACGTAGAAAAAATAAAGGGGCTAACCATAAAGGGTGTAATCACCATCTTGAATAGCAGGAAGCAATCCAAAAGGCTGCAAATTAGTAAAACTTGGTCATATGGTTGGAAAAAAGAGAAATTAAATTTTATCAAATATAATAATTGTATCATTCTCTTTCTAACATCATCATATCAGGTTACTCAGTAGGACGAAATGAAAAGTCTATAATATTAAAGGACAAAAAATGCATCTTGAAAAATGTAATTCAACCTGCAACTTGAGGTACTCAGGCTTTTTATTCTCTCCCTTGAAGCCATCAACAAACACTGTCTCAAACTCGATTTCCTTCTCAATGAGGCACATTATCACCCGCTTTGGGTTAGCATAGTCTGAACCATAGACTTTCACAACCATTGTGATGTTTAGAAAGCAAGATTAGGGAGATTTGGCTAAGGAGTCAAGTAACCTTGTTTATTCTTATAGTGCCAACCTGAACAAAAAACAATAAAGTTTGAAAGAGGTTCAATGAATCAAAATCAACTCAATTGGTGACAATTCGTTAGAGTGATACAAATATTAATTAATATATTAAATATTTTGGTGTGAAAATTAATTAAATTATTCTTTCAATAATTTTTGGAGTATAAATTTTACAAATTCAACCATTGAATTATGTTATATGATACACATGATCATCATGTATATCAAATTTGACATATAATTTAGACTTTTCAAAATATATTTTCTAACAATAAATATTATATATTTTATATTCCATATTATATATTAAAATAAAGTAATTTAATGAAAAAAACAGATAATTGTGAAACTATATGAATTTTGTATACAAAATGTAATTAGTAAGAACATCAAATGCAATTGTCGGAATAGTTAAGGAGTCAAGGATATATAACTCCATAGTTTTAAAACCCGGATCGGTTATCAAACTGGTTAAGGGACTGGGTCAGTGGGTTAAAGGTTGAACCGGTGAGTCACAGGTTGAATCGCATGACTCAATTTTTATTATTTTTTTTTAAAAAAATATTCATATTAAATATATTTTATAGTTATAAATATTAATAAATTTATATCTTATTTTAAATTTCAATTTTTCTATCTTATTTAAAATTACTTTTATTTTTATTTTGTAAAAAAATACATTAAAAAATTACATGTTAAACTGAATATTAATACAAATTAAAAATATAAATAATATGTACATATATAATATGCTTGCAATTAATATCACAAAATAATATATGTAATATTTACATAGATATTGCATTATTAAATATATAATTTAAAATTAATAATATACTATAAAAGTTATTTAAGTTGTATATATTGCAAACAAATATATTAGAACAAGTAGTCATTGTTATATTTAATAAGACTCTTTGCTCTTCCAATAAGAGATTCAATTTTTATTATTATTTTTTAGGATTATGGTCCTTTAAAAAAATAAAAAAATAATAATTTTTTTTATATAAAAAAAAGTGTGGTTGAACCGGTATGACCCACGGTTCACCGGTTGAACCGAAAAATTGACCGGTTCAATCCGGTTTGAAACGGGTCGACTGCATAACTGATCCAACTTAAGATTGGCCCACCGGTTCCCGGTCCAACCGGTCCGACCGGCCGGTTCGATCCGATTTTTAAAACACTATATAACTCTATTGCTTCCTGTATGACAAATTATAAAGTCTTAAAGAGATTCAATGAATCAAAATCATCTCAATATAATTCAATAAAGTTATAAAAAAAATATTAATTAATATATAATGTATTAAAAAAAATACTACCTTCGAGTTCCTTTACATAAATTAAGAAATGTAATAAAATTTTCTATTTTTCATATAACAATTTTAATGTTTTCTATTATACTCTCTTTATTTTTTACTTTATAATAAATGTATATTAGTTGTAAATTAATTAAAAATTAGATGAGATGTAATGTAACACTCCATTTTTCAAAATACTATTATTATTATTATATAATATTTGGTCAATATTATTTTATTATTCTAGAAAAAAATATATTTTATATTATATTCATTTATTATATTTATTTAATTATTTTTTGGAAAAGAGAAGCGAGTCAGGAAAAGAAAGAAAATGGGCTGGGTTGATCCAGCCTAGTGGATTATTTTTAAGAAGGGTCAGGCATAATTACCATATCTGTCTCATTTTACGTTCTGAAAGGTTAGAAGAGAAAGAGAGGCAAAATAGAGAGCTCTGAAGAAGAGTGTTCAGGAGGAACAATCTCAATTGACATCAAGATTGTTAATTGATTATTTCGAATTAACGTAACCAAGTATGGAAAAAGGGGATTTTTATGTCATATGAGGGAATGAGTTGAGGGAAATTTTCCTTAGGCTTTTAGTAATTTTATATCCATTTCTGGTTGGATGTTTGATGATTCTGATAATTTCTATGTAGACTTGTGATTATATTTCTAGTATTGATTGTTGAAAATGGATGTCTGGGATGCGAGATTGAATTGTTTTAAAATGTTCATGACACGGTATTGGATGTGTGATGCGTTGGCACGGGCGTGTGCTTGATACAATGTTGGTTGTGTGATGCATTGACACGAGCATATGCGTGACACGGTGTTGGATGTGTGATGCATCGGCACGGATGTGTGCATGACATGGTGCTGGATGTATGACATGAGGCATACTTAAATTGTGATGTGGTAGTGGAACTGAATAACTTTAGAGTTGATAATATTAAGTATGTTTGGATGATGGTTATTGTATTTATATATTATTTTTAAATAGAGATTGTTTTGGTGAAAATTTTTTATAGTGATTTTCTTATGCATGTCCTCTTTTCTCACTATACGTTTTGGGGTTATTTTTAGGTGAAGAAGATCTGGATGTGAGTGGCACTCAAAGTGCCGACAATTGAGTTGAGTGATTACTCTGATAGTGTGACATTGGGACGATGAATTTAGAATATTAATTTTATTGTAATTGGATTTTATTTCTTTTTTTTTTAATTACATTTGTGAACTCTTACTTTATGAATTTTGATTTTAAATTATTTGGATATTCGGAAGTATTTTAACATGTGAACCATTTTACCTGAGTTTGGAGGATATATTCTTTATTTTATTATATTATATGTGTTGGGGTAGAATGAATGTTACATGTAAGATTATATAATTGATAACATAGTAATTAATTTTGGCCTAAAATTTGAAAATGACAAGTAAAAATAAAAATTTACTAAAAATCTGACCAATAAAAAGAAACAAATGGAGTAAAAGAAAATTATGGTACAAAACAATTCACTAACAAAAAAAGTATAAACATATAAATTTATGGGAAAAAATAACCGGATTTATTCACATATAATTAAATGAAAAATAATCAGAGGCAATAAATGAAAAAAAAATGCTTTTCAAAATTGGATTCTATATAATGATTACTAAAATTAATATATAAATATGAATTTATTGGGATAAATTTCTTCAAAAATAAGTTTTTTCATAAGTTAAAATAAATTTATGTGTAAGTTATTTTATAAAAGTTATAGGATTTGATCATAAACTAATTGTTATTCAATCATTAAATCTTAAATTAGTATCTTAATCGATTTAATGACTAATTCAATTTTTTAAAATAATAATTTTTTTTAAAATATAGAAATTCAAGTGTAAAGTATATAATTTGATGTATATTCATAAAAATATATTTACATCTATTTAAATTTTTATAATAAAGTATTATATAATTTTTAAAATTTTAAAAATAATTAAAAATTTTGATTTATTTATTAAGAACTTTTAAAAGTAAAACACCATTTGTGTCCTTAAAAATGTATGTTGTTGGTACTTTGATTCCAAAGATATAAAAATTCTAAAAGTGCAAATCATTACTCACTTTAGTCCAAAATTTAAAAAATACATGTTACTTAAATGATCTTAAAGTATATTTATAAATTAAAATAACAATAAATGATTTAAAATAAAACAATTTGATGAACAATCAAATAATTGTGAAAATATATGAATTTTGTATCCTTAGTAAGAATATCAAATACGATAGGTAGATTAGTTAAGGAGTCAAGATTAAATTTGTTGCTTTCTATAGTGCCAACCTGTAAAGAAAAAAAAAGGCTTTAAAGAGGTTCAATGAATCAAAATCATCTCAATTAATAATTCAATAGTTATAAAAACATTAATTATTAAATAATATACTAAAAAGTAAAAGACAGTTAAGGTATAAAACAATTCACTAACAAATAAAGTATAAACATATAAATTTGTGGAGAAAAAAATAATTGGAATTATTTACATATAAATGAAAAATACTCAGAGGTAATAAATGAAAAATTAATTTTGTTTTAAAAATCTGATTCTATATAATGGTTACTAAAATAAAGACATAAATAGGGATATCTTTGAATAAAACTTTCCAAAATCATTTTTTGGAGACAAAATATATATGAAAAAAAAATGAAATAAGTTTTTCCATAAATTAAAATAAATTTAAACATAAATTATTTTATAGAAATTTTCTCTTACTTATTTTTTAAAAATCATATTTTTAACACATGTCTTAAGCAAGTTTTAACTGATAAAAACTTATTTTTATTTTTTATTCTATTTTTTTCTACTATAGATAGTTATGAAAAATTTATCGAAACAATCCTTATATACACCAAATATACGTTAACAATTTATTGATTATTTTTTATTTAAAAAACTACTCTATAAAAAGCTGCGTGTTGAAAATCAGGCTGAATGGCAGATCCCATCGATAGGAAAACTAGTGAATCAGTCACTTGGTTGGTTCAATTGAAAAGTTGGTTTATTGAAAAGAATACATTGTTTCAAATTATTAAAGTAACATGAAATCAATTTAAGTATTTGTCATTTTTTACTATTCTAAATATAAGCATGTTATTATTAATAAATTTTGATGTATATGTTTAAAATTTAGATTAAACTATTACTGTGACACCCTACTACCCCAACACATATACTATAACTTTACAAATAAATGTTTAAATTTCAGTAAAAAGGTTCACATGAGAAACTTCAAAAATCGTTCTTCAATAACCACAATAATTAAGATTTATAAAATGAAACACAAGAGTTTACAAATTGTTTTCAAAATGATATTTACAATTTCAAACCCATATAAAAATTATGTCCTAAAAGTCCTCTGCCCCGATGTCACAATATCATAGCATACCCCTAATTTAACTGTTGGCATTCTAAATGCCACTCGCAGCCGAATCTTCCTCACCTAAAATATCCACAAAATTGTACGGTGAGAAAAGAAAACATTTATATGTAAAGTACATACAAACACACAACATATCATCTCATTATAACTCGATACTTAACAAAATATTCATAAACATTTCAATGTATCATAACTTTATCAATCGCGCATCATCATCACGTCACAATTCGCAAT